GTCTGTGCCTCACACGGTCTTCTATAACCCGAGGTGCGGATGCAACACGTAAGGCAGATACCGAGACGAGCAGGGACACGGTCGGCCTCACATCGAGCTCTGCATAGGCCGGTTGTGGAGAAACCGAGGCAATCGGAAAGCATCGAGGCCCTGTCCGGCAGAGACAGAGTGAGGTATTCGCCGAGGTTGCCATGCATCTCTTGGTGAGAATTTTGAAAAAAATTTCAAAATTACAAATTTTTTGGAAAAATCAAAAAACGCTGGAAATTATCTGAAAATCGCACAAAACCGAAACATTTTGAAATTTTTGAAAAATTTTGAAAGTGGAATTTTTCAAAAATTGTTGGTTTTGTGCGCTTTTTGGATAATTTGCAGAATTTTTTGATTTTTTTAAATTTTTTGAAAATTCCACCACCTGATGCCTTGGAGAACCGGTCTCTCTCGGACTGTTTCTGATGTACTGTGTCTCTGAGGAATGCGGTCTGTGCCTGACTTGGGCTCTGCACTTACCGGTCTCTGTATGATACAGCTGTGACGTGCCGTCTCCGAGAAGCCCAGGTGCGGCTGATAACACGTGAGGCAGATACGGACCTGCAGAGACCGGTTGGTGCAGACACCGAGGCAGGCAGCAACTTGGTGATATAGAGGCCGAGTCCGGCAACGACAGGATGTGGCATTCACCGAGACTGGCATGCATCTCTTGAGCAGACCTTTGAAAAAAATATTACAATTTTCAAAATTTTCGAAAAATCAAAAAATGCTGAAAATTGTCTGAAAAGCGCACAAAACCAAAAAATTTTGAAAAATAGACTAGGTGAAAATTTTCAAATTTTGTTTGTTTTGTGCGCTTTTTGGACAATTTCCAGCATTTTTTGATTTTTTGAAATTTTTTAAAATTCCACCACCTATTGCCTTGCAGAACCGGTCCCTCTCGAACTGTTTCTGATGTACTGTTTCTGATGTACTGTCTCTGGCGAATGCGGTCTGTCCCTGACTTGGGCTCTGCACGGACCGGTCTCTGAGAAGCCCAGGTGCGGCAGACAACACGTGAGGCAGATACGGACCTGCACAGACGAGAGTCTTGCAGAGGCCGGTTGGTGGAGACACAGAGGCAGGCAGTAACTTGGTGATATAGAGGCCGAGTTCGGCAGACAGCATGTGGCATTCACCGAGACTGGCATGCATCTCTTGAGCAGACCTTTGAAGAAAATTTGGAAATTTTCAAGAAATCAAAAAATGAAGGAAATTGTCTAGAATGCCACAAAACCCAAAAATTTTGGAAAATTTCAAGTGAAAATGTTTCCAATTTTTTTCGTATTGTGCTCCATTTAGAAGATTTCCAGCATTGTTTGATTCTTTAAATTTTGAAAATTCTTCCAAATTTTTAACCAACCGATACCTGCCAGACGCGGTGTCTAACGCGTCCTGTCTGACGTACCTTCACAAACATACTAGTACTCTGCTGCAGCGTCTGCACGATTCGGTGTCTATGTCCCGGTATCTCACGCGCCGTTTGCATAGAACGTTTCCGGCGGTGACCGGGTTAGGTATAGATCTTGTTCGCCAGACAGTGAGGCAGAGATCGAGGCCTGCAGAGACCGGGTGAGGAAGAGACTGAGTAAGGCAGAGAGCTCGTGAGGCTGTGACCGAGCCATGCAGAGACCTGGTGTGGCAGAGACGAGTTCCAGCAGAGAGCTGTACTGATGAGGTTGGGATTGAGCGAATTTTGAAAATTTTCCAAAATTTTCGAAAAATAAAAAAACGTGAAATTGTCTAGAATGCGCACAAAACCAAGATTTTTTGGAAAATTTTTAAAAAAAATTCAAGTGAAAACTTTTTCGATTTTTTTTAGTTTTGTGGGCAATTTGAAAGATTTCTACCATTTTTTGATTTTTTGAATTTTTTTTCAAAATTTTACCCAACCGATACGTGCCAGACGCGGTGTCTGATGTGCCATCACTGGCGGACTCGGACTGTGCTGTACAGTCTGCACAAACTGGTCCCTTTGAACCGGTATCCCACGTGCCGTCGTTACGAGGATCATTTCCAGCGGAGACCAGGTGAGGTATAACTCGTCGCTGCTTGACTCGGTGTTTGCACGGTGTGGTCACTATGACCTTTTCACTGACGTGCTGTCTCTGACTGAAAGTCGTGCAGAGACTGGTGAGGCACACTGAGTACGGAAGAGATAGGGTTGGAGAAAGAGACCGTGTGTTGCAGACATCGATTATGGCGGGGATCGCTTGGTGCAAAATTTGAAAATTTTCGAAAAATCAAAAAATGATGCAAATTGTCTGTAAAGCGCAAGAAATTTTTTTTTTAATATTTGAAAAAAAATTGAAGTTGAAATGTTTCAAATTTTTTTAATTTTCTGCTCGTTTTGGACATTTTTCAGCATTTTTTGAGTTTTTGAAAATTTCGAAAGATTTAGAATTGTTTTCAAAATCTCCCCACATGACCCCTGCCATCACCAGTCTCTGCGGTACTCGATTTCTGCCACATTCTTACTCTACACGATCCGGTCTCTGTGTGAACCTGTCTATGTGAGAAACCGTCTGTGCTTGACTCAGTCTTGACATGATGCAGTCTCTCCCTTACCTGGTCTGTCGGACTCGGTGTCTGAACTATGCGTTCTGTGACCCGTTCATTGACGTGCTTTTTCTGAAAATACAGTCTAGCAGAGACCGGTTGAGGCACATTGAGTCCGTGTGTTGTAAATATCGGTTATGGCGGGGATCGGTTGTTGAAAATTTTGAGAAAATCAAATCAAATTTTTGAAAATTTTCGGAAAATCAAAAAATGCTGGAAATTGTCTAAAAAGCGCACAAAACCAAAAAAAATTGAATTACCTGAATATTTTTTTGAAGATGAATTTTTTAATTTTTTGTTTTGTGCGCTATTTGGACAATTTTTTAAATATTTCAAAAATCCTTTGAAGATGAAATTTGTGTAAATGTTTAGTTTTTTGTGCTTATTGGACAATTTTCAGCATTTTCTGATTTTTCAAAACTGTTGACATTTTTTTTCAAAACTCACCCCACACGATCCCTGCCAGAACCTGTCTATACCGTACACTGTCTCTGATGGACCTGATCTTTACCAGACTCGTTCTCCGAATTATCTGGTCTTTCTATGACCCGGTATCCGCCTTGCCATCTATGCAGACCGGGTCCTGCAAAGACCGAGTAAAGGCAGAGGCCGCTTCCGGCAGAGACTGTGTGAGGCGGAGAGCAGGTGAGGCAGGGACTGGATGGTACAGATGGGGTATGGAAAATTTTTGAAAAAATGGTTTCACTATTTGGACCACATTACATTCAGCCCAGATTGGCTGCATTTGACTTCCGTCTCTTCCAAAAAGTGAAGGAACCTCTGACTGGATGTGAGCTCGTATCAGATGATTAATCAAGACAGCAGTGAAGACATTCCAACAAGGCGCACCATTTTATTGCAAGAGACTCATGAGGTATCACAACAAAATTGTATTAACACTCTCTGGGGAATGTTCTAGTTAGAGACATAGAAAGAGTCTGATACAATGTTTGTGGCTAAGTTTAAAGCAAAGCAACAACTCCAGAAAGTGGAATTATGTCCAACTGTTTTAGAAACCCTATTATATGGTAGTTATGATGAAAACTAAAATAATTAGAAATGAGCACTTTTATTGCAATCTCATTATAGAAATTTTAAAAAATACAAGTTTACTGAATTTTGTTATATAATAATGTAAAAATTGAAATAAGAAAATAATTTACAGTTTTTATTAGCTTTTATAGTGCAGTTCCTATGTGAAAAGTATACTGACAGTCTTCTGTCTTCATATGTTTAGATTCAGCCCTGAGCATCCTTACTAGAATGCAGGAAATGACAATGGCTAATTCTGGATCTGAAATAAAGAAACCTCAGTGTGTAAAAACTGGGTGTAAATAAAAGATTACTACTGCCTGTCTGAGTCTAATGTAAGTACAAATAAGATCTGTAACAAGATTTTCCTTCATGCCCAGACTCCGATGTAAGTTAAAGGCAGCCAAGAGTAGTAAATAATACAACGAAAGGTAGACATAACCATATTTCAAGGCATTACGAAGACCAATTTCAATCTTGGTATTTGCCGCGTTATGCATAACATGAATAAACTGAGTGCTAAAAAAAAAACCCTTAACCCTTTGCGGTCCCTTTTAAATACCACTAAGCTCTATAAATTCAACTACTATTATGAACCGGTTTGATTTTCTTTTGTAACTTGCATTAAATGGAAGGAACTTCGCTAAATATGGTGAAAATGCATTCTGAAAGGATCACAGATCCTTTTGTTTGAATACTGACCGCGTGAAATATTTTTCACAGACTGTACTAGTGTCGCTAGTGAGATGTGTAATAAGTGGTGCCTCTCTGCTTCCTGTCGTTCAGGAGAGAAGAAAGCAAGTCCTAGTCGGTAGATATGACTTTTGCGAAGACTAAACTTCTCTTATTGCATGCAGATGTACAATGTATAAGCATTGGATTTCATCACTGTCATCACTGCTACCATTCCAGATGGTTGGGAACACATGGCTCAAAGCGGAGAGAAGTTGAATGACAACATGGGACAGATCCTACAGCAACAAGAAACTGGGCAATGTCCTGAATGGAAAATGGAAATACACCGCTGATCGTAGACCCACTTACAGAAGCTACAGCACCACCGGAAATAGGGAAACAGAAGCAGCACAAGGAGAAGGAAGTATTGACGGAACTCCACAGACACAGGAGGACACCTGGAAGTCAACATGACGCTTGACAGCTGCTTGGTCTGAGGCATCATGCTTCGGACCGGCGATCTGGAATGCGCGTTGGTTCGAGTCTTGGGGGAAAAGAAATTTTCTCATGAGCTATCGACCGATGTATGGGACCGGTGCCAACCCAGTATCGTGAGGAAATTGGGGAGCTACAATGAGTAGCGTAATCCGGTCAGGAAAACTAGCAATGGCTGGGGGTTCGTCGTGCTGACCACATGTCACCCCAGTGACCAACTTCTGCCACTTCGCAGTTCCAAGAGAGTTGCACAGTAACCAGGGCTCGAATTTTGAGTCTTGGTTAATGCACGATGTTAGAGCACCTGGGAATATGCAAGACATGGACCACCCCTCTGTATCTGGCAGATGGCATGGTGGAACCATAACTGAAGAAAGTTGAGGACAACCTGAGAAAGGTCATCTCCAGATCCCAGAGGGACCGGAAAGAGAGGCTACTCATCACACTGCTGGCATACGGATCATCAAACCACGAGACCACAGGCATGATGCCGGCCAGCACAGTGTTTGGGTGGGAGCTATATCTGACCTGTGACCTACTGTATTGGGTTCCCCCAACAAGTACCAGTTGGCGAACAACCATATGGTGGAATTTGTAGACCAGCTACATGACATCCACCATTTCACCCATCATCCAGTCATCGTGGGAAGGCCCATACAAATTGACTACCAGGATCAATGATTGGATCCAGCAACATCTGAGGGTGAAGACAATGGTGATACACCCGAACAGACTGGCACCATACCTTGGGGCTACTCGGGACAAGCAGCCTTAAGGAGAGAGCAGTGTGATGCACCTTGTCGTGGTTGTGGGGCTTGAGTACCTCAGTGATCCCAAGAGCTACGCTGGCGGTAGCATAGCTACTTGTAGGGCCTCCCTAGCCAGATTGGTCGAGGGGGAGAGGTCAAACTAAGACAGGTACCCTGGTCCTCCAGGTTGGGGGTTGGTCGCAAGGCTAACAACCTTGAACCGTAAAAAGGAAGATGTTTCAAAACCTCGATCAAAGCCTTGGACAGATGGACCTAACAGAGGACCGAATGGAAGAGGAGAATTGAGGAGGCCATGGACCAAATATGGACCGGAGAGCCATAGAAGAAGAAGTGTGATGAGTGTATGCCATGATATTGCCCAGGTACCAGATGGTCTCTTCACACAACCTGAAAGCCACTGACTAAGTGTGTACTGGCATGTAAATTTTATAAAAGGAGTACTGGTGCTGAGCAGTGGTGTTGTTGTAATTGTGAAACAGTGGGCGCTGAAATCGCAGGCGAGGAAGAAGTGTTTGGTTGACCAGTGGGACATTGAGTAACGAGGAGTGTGAAGACACCGTTGGAACAGTGTTGTGGAGTTGGTGACAAGAGAGATTGCAAGTGTCGAGGGCTGAATTTGTGGTTTCTAGCCAGTCGAGGAACATTGAGTGATCAGTCATACAAACAGTGGAGTGGCAGAATTTGTGTCGTGGCAGAGCAAACACAAAGTGCCGCGTCTGATCCCCATGAAGTGGTTGTCTATAAAATGCAGTCTCTCATACTATAAAACAAAAAGAGATTGAAGGTGTTTAAGAACAATTTGGAGAAGACAATATTTATTTAGAGCTAACGGAGAGGACACTACAGGAGGTTGAAGAAAACCGAATACCAAAGAACTTGACAATTTGTATCTATGCCAAAGCTGAATAGTGTTATCAAACGAAGAAGTATGAGGTGCGCAGAGTACGTTCCATGTTTGAGGGACATGAGAAATTCATACACAATCTAATTTGAAGGGAAGAGATCATTTTGGAGACCTGGACATAGATGAAAGAATATCAACACGGATCTTAAAGAAACAGGATGTGGAAATGTGAAGAGGCTTTATCTGGTTCAGGTTAGCTTGCAGAACCAATTACAAATTAACCTTCTGATTAAACAGGTGATGGGAAATTTCTTGACTACCTGGGTAAGTAATTGTTTTTATAAGAAGAATGTGCTCAATTAAGTTGGTGGTGTGGTTATGAAAGTAGTATCATATATGGAATAAACTGCAATTCTAAATAAGTTTACCTCTCTACTTCTTTTTCTTGGTTGGCGCGGGTTGTGAAGGAAGCGGTATAGCGTAGGTCTGCTGGGAGATGCGATTCAGGTAGTACAGCCCCATCAGAGAGAACAGGAAGCTGAAACATTACCGTGCACATTAGAGCAGAGATGTTTGATTCTTAAAGTACATGTCATGAAACCCTTTCGTGATGGTGACCATTTGTTGAAAGGTATTTCGTAAGTCATAAGAACCCAATAATCTTGGATTGATTGTGATTTACATTTAACGGAATACAAAAGATAATATAACTTATGGTGTCTATGCAGTTTATGTTCTTAATGTCATTAACTTCCTACAGCCCCAAATGATAAGACCATCACTTACCATGTCGTACTACACACGCTGTGTACCATTCCAGATGCCGTCATTGCAATACCCAAGCAAAGTATAACTGAAATATAAGAAACACACATTAAATTTTTCAGAAACAAAATACTATTAAAATCATGTCTGTGCCAACATGATTATGTATCACAGTGATGTAACTCTGAAATGGTACGCATCCTATGTTAGAGAAAAAGTTGTAAAGGTTTTTGTATCTGAAATCATTAACAGAATAAATTAAAAATGACTGTGATTAACAAATTTCTTTCATGTATACTTACTTTCTGGGAAAAATTTTGTTTGGAAACCTTTTCCAAATAATGTTGATTCCAGATTTCCTACTGCCTGTTTTTTTTATAAGGAATAATATGAAAATAAATACGTTTTCGGGACAGATGGACACACTAACATCGTGACGCTAACTGGAACATTTTTGCAACTTTTAACAGGAAACATGCCTAAAAATTCATAAACCATAGGGGTCAATTTTATAATATTAAATTTGTGGTTTAATTACCACAGAAACCTATATAACCCTCCTACCCTATGCATCAATTAGAGTTTCTTCAAGGTTCTTGGTTTTAATGCATACATACATACATATTTTATTACATTCCATACTCCTCGGTAGACACTTGAATCTTCTTAGGGGTGTTAACGGCACGTAACTGCCGAAAACTAAAAGCTGCCGCTATTGCCGAATATAATTTTTTTTTCTCTTTATGCTATTTATTTAAGAACAATACAGATGATGATATCTGGCTTTAGCTGCAAGAAAATGATTTCAGAATTGTATTGGATTTGCGTGCGACTGTCTTTAAACTTTGTTGAAGAGACCCCAACAGATGCGCTGCTGTAAGCGTCCTGTCCCTGGTTCAAAACCAGTGACGTATTCAATCGCATATAGCTCTTGCGTCTAAATGGCTCTTTCAAAGTTTCTCCCTCACACTCCTTAATGTGTATGGTCCAGTAACATTTGTCTGCTGAGTGACAATGAACCATAAAGTTCAAACTGACTTTTGACATATTGCAGCCATAAATGTTGAAGTGTGACACATGGGACTACGCACAATTCACAACAATTTATTACCCATTAGTGTCAAAACCAAGACTTCCGGGAACCGAAGGTCCTTGCACGTTTGTGTCTTAAACACTTAGGTAGATGCCAGGGAATGGAAGTACCAATCCCAGTATCACACCCCAAACACCACAAAAAGTTAAAATTTTGAAAAGAAAACTTAAAACAAATTCAGACTAATAAAATACTGAGAAATTAAATTACCTCAGCAGAAGATGTAATTTGGACCACTTCAAAGATTTTACCTTTTCAATTCCACATTAAAATTTACGCACGATAGAGGGAATTTTACTTCAGTGTCTACTTTGTATTCCTGCAACCAGACAAATTTCTGATTAATCATGTCATCATGTTTAATGCATATTTTACTCTGGTTTCTAAGTCAAACTTATGCAATGGAAGGATACTGTAAGTATAAAAATGAAAAGAATGGATCCCAAATAGCCGCCAAGAATTGTATGCAACTGTGATGAAGCAAGCCACTGCCGATACATTTGCATGCCAGAAAACAGTAGCACAGTGAGAACTGAGGCCAGTACAAACGATGTTCCGCTTGACACAGCTAAAACAAAAAACAGTATTTATTATTGCGCTAGGCATTTCTCAGGATCACAGCCGGGAAATTACTCCGGTACCCATTGGATAGGAGGCTGGGTGGGCTCTAGAACCGGTCTGGTCGCAGAGGCTAGAGAAAAATTCTTCTGCTCCGTTGGGGACCGAACCCCAGTCGTCCAGTTCGTAGTCAGTCACTATACTGCATGACAATTTTATAATGACACCAATTAAAGTGCCAAGTTATTTTCAAAATTATTTTTAAAGTATGAAATGTAAATGTTTTCTATTTTAAATTTAAAAAAAACTTGAATATAAAGTATGGCATATCTTTCCAGTTGGGGAATGACACTGACCACTCACCCACTCTCCCCTTCACCCCTAGTACTAAAATAAAGAATGAGTAAGAAGTATATCTCCCCCCCCCCAAGTGCTTAAATTGTGTGAAGCAGCACAGCTTTACTTATGTATTTCCAATATGAACATACTGTATTTAGATTTGTTCAAACAATATTTTTGACATAGTTACACTGTAATGAGTACTGACAGATCACATGAACATTATCCATCACCCTTATTTCCATTTTAAAAAAATTGGAGACTGGAATTTGTCCCAATACTCAAGTAAAATATAATCTGTTGGGCCCAATTGTTTAGTATTTATCTACAGTCTGGAGGTATTAGCTTTACCTGAGGACAGAGACAGATTCGAGTCTCTGAAATATTTGATCTTGGAACTAAAATTAGGATGATGACAAATATCAAAAATGTTTGTCAATGCAATTACATCATCATCATAAACCTTCAGATTTAATAGTTAATAACTAGATGTCTGTAGTAGAACCAGCAAAAATAACAAAGGCCTTTCATAACTGGATAAATGTTAACATTACCAGACAAGTCTGAACATGTTAGGTTAAACTGTGATACACGAGTTTAATTTATTCATGTTGGATCTAGTATGCAAGGCTCCAGAAATACAATTTAAATCTACTTGTCATTTAATAAAATGCACTTGCCAATGGAGTAGCATCATATTTCATATATTTTTATACAAGCCAAGGTCTCTGTAACATGCCTGTGGTGAGTGGGCAACCATATTTCTGGAGCCCTGAAAGTAAGCATAAATATGTGACTTTGTATTCAGTACCCAGTTTGAATCCCAATATCTGAATTGTTGACTTCCTCCCTACTAGACAGTACTTTAAACTGACATAACCCTAATTTCATACCCCTCCTGTCACAACATTCATAATCACTCTTTCATTTCTGATTCAACGTTCTGTAACCTCTGAAAATTATATTTCCAAACAGAACATAAAGAAAACTTGACAACCATACAATATTCAGCAAAAATTATTACAGACGAAAATCAAAAATCAGTTTCATGATGCTCTGTAAAATAACGCAATTTCACTTGGAAAGCACAAATTTATAGGTACGTAGGTACAAATTCACATTTGGAGGTTAGAACAGATAGGTATAAGTATACTAATTACGAAATGCCTGTAGGTGGCTTATTACTTATTGTAACTGAGAAACCTTACCCATACTGCAAATAAATCGCAGAGAATTACGTTGGTCTTTATATTTAACCGGCTACTTTCATGTACACATCAGTCGAACTTACGACACGTAAACACTCTCATACGTGGACAAGCTAAAGAGGCCGGTTACAGATGGCAGTAACATCAAAGCCAAGGCTTATTAGGCTTTGTCACCAATAAAACTACAAGGAAAGCATTTAATGCAAATTAAAAAGGTTTATAAATTTTGGGCATTAAAAATTTCGTGCATTATCTATGACACTCCCCAATAGGCCTTGAAGACACTAGGGGTGGAGGGAAAAATTGTATAGTCCTACTCATTCTTGACCTAACCACTAGATGGAAGTAAGTGGTCAGCGTCACGTCTTTGGCGTATCGTACCAACCAGGGAGGGCACCCCTGGTAGCAGAGCAGGTTACTCGAACCGATCTGGACAGAGGCTAGACGTAAAATTCTTTTCCCTTCCCCCCCGACTGGTAGTTTCGTGCACTGACTGACCAACTACAACTCAGTAAAAAATATCTTAAATCGGGCTTTTAAGACTTGATTTTATTTTCTTATTTCTCGACTAGAAAGTGTCCTGAAAAGCCGTTCAAATGCCAAGTAAATTTATTTTCGATGATTGCCATACCAATATAATGTACACATTTTTTCTATCGTTGAACTAGAGCGTGTATGTACGTACGTAGGAGTTCTGACAAAAATAACGAGACTGATGCTGCAACAAATGTATTTACATAATTACAAAAATTAACTGTGATTGCCATCGAAATAGTTCCCTTCGGAGTTGACACATAACTGCATACGTTGCAGCCACTGTTGAAAACAGTGCTGTAGATCATTTTTCTGTAGGGCTGCTCATCAGCTGTCCTTTTTGCCTTCACCACTACTACCATCTCTAAACAGGTTCCTTTTGAGCATGGATTTGATCTTGGGGAAGAGAAAGAAGTAGCAGGGAGCCAGGTCTGATGAATGAGGGGTGGTCAAACACATGACCTCTTTGGTTACAAACTGCTTCCAGACAAAGCTGTGGGGGCTGGCACATTATCCTGGTCCAAAATCCACTCTTTCTTTAATAACTCTGGCAGTTTCATTCTCACTCGTTCGTGCAATTTTGTAAATATTTCGATTTTATATTGTTTATTTACCGTCTGGCCGCTGGGAACCCACTCTGCCATCACAACACCCTTCATATAAAAGGAAATTGATGTCCGTGAATGACCTGGGCACTCATCATCTTCCACACCCACTCTCATTATCAAAATCAATGCAGTTAGAAAAAAGTATCCTATATACAAAATTTGAAGTTCTCACGGTCGTGACTATCGATGACTTTATGGGTTGCCGAATAGTATAGTATTTTGGTTATTATCCAACATTTTAAGAGAATTTATGTAATGAGAGCTAGATAAACTTAGGCAGAATATTCTTACTGATTCACAACGCTGCTATGATGGTTCTTTAGAAACCATGTTTGGGTAACCCATTTTAAACCTACACTGAGACGTAATTTAACTTTTTATTCTTAAAAATTAAAATGATACATGGACAGAATACATAATATCACTTTTCATACCACACCCCTCCTGCCTTTTATTCAGACCACATAAATCATATATTCTCTTATTTACTTCGATTTTTAATCTTCAGCCACATTCCACCAGTAGGAGTCAAAATAAATGCCTTTGCATCAAACACCAATGGGATCGGTGTCTTCTGACTCACACTGAACTGGTATTTGGACAGCAGAGAGACAAGTCCCACCTTTGTCTGCATCAGTCCAAACCGCATTCCTGAAACAGACAAATATACTATATATATTTCTATGGCCACCTGACCTGGCAGATTGCCCATAATTACTTTCTTAGGACACAGCCTCTCTTCAAAAGCAAATAGCCCCGCAGAAAATAAATATATAAATTCCTCACAATTCATGCAGACTTAATCTTTATTGATGCTGAATTCAGTCCACATTCTACGAGGCGCGTCCACAAAGTAAGTTTCCCACTCGTCCCACAGCTAGCAAACCTTATATTGCACGAAGCGACTGTGCGTACGTGATAGAGCAATGACGTAGCATGGCGCATGCACTAACGGCACTTCCCGCGTTCTCACAGTAGCATCGTTGCAGCTGTTGAAGATGGAGGTTCTTATTCCAGCTCCCGCCGACTGTGAAGTGCGGTCAGTGATAACGCTAGGCCGCACACGGCTCGACGGACAGCAAGTCTCCTGCAGAAGTTCAGCTGGGAGGTGTTTAATCATTCACCCTACAGCACGGACCTCGCTCCCAGTGATTTCCATCTTTTCCTACACCTCAAGAAATTCCTGTCCGGTCAGCGTCAGCGTTTTGAGAATGACAGAGAGGCGGAGATGGTTGTCACACAGTGGTTCCAATCCCCGGCGGCAGACTTCTACGACACAGGTATTCCAAAGTTGGTCCCACGGTATGACAAATGTCTCACTTCCGGTGGCGAATATGTTGAAAAATAGCTGGACACTTGCTGTATCTGTTGCAATAAATATTTCCATGAAATTGTGTTTTGTTTCTGTAAACGGCCCCAGGGAAACTTATTTTGTGGACGAGCCTCGTATTACTACAAACATCTTAATATATCTTTCCCATCTAGACCTAGATCTCCAAAGTATAATTTTTCTTCAGTTTTTCCAATTACAATTTTTGCTGAATTTCTCACTTTGCGCCCATTTCATCCTCCATGTTTTCATCAACTTAAATTATATTTGGATAAAAATTATATGCAAGGTCTATAATGAAAACGTCTTTTGGATGGAATTAGCCCACAAAAGCATTTCTCGACATGATGTAGGACTATATTTGAAAAAAAGCAAGCAAAATATTTTGTGACTGAAATGTAATATTTTGGTTGTTAAGATTTCAGTAAATTTAGTTGTTGAGAAAGCTACAGACCACACACAAATATTTAAATGTTAGCAAACTGCAATTCAAAACACATTGTGGACTGTGATTTGTATTAACATGTACAAAAGAAATTAGGTAACTCTCGATTTACGAACATTCACTATAACGAATGTCACAATTCATTCAAAATTTCTTAAAGTTGCCAATAGACAGAGTTCCTTATAAATTTGAATACATATGTATATACATATTTTATGTTAGTACTCATTTCTTTATTTATATTTTGTAACTCTTTATGTTTCTAATTAAAATTAACAAGCACAATATCTTGTTTTATTATTCTTTTCTTATTTTATTTTACGTTATATACTGTATAGGCCATTCAATGTTTAGTACATGGTTTTAATGCTTTAAAACAACTACTAACATATATGATACGTATCGCAAAAGCTCAGGAATGCAAGATACACATAACGAAAGTCTTGGAAAGGAACTCGTTCGCGAACCGAGACTCGATACCCTGTGAGTGGATTCTAGGGAATATGGTTGAAATCTCTCACTAAAACAGCAATACAGGATTTAATTACTATGAATTTTGGAAATAATTTGAGCTGGAAAGTCTGAAACGAAGATGCCTCTTGTAATAACCTACATAGGCATGCATAAAAGTAACAATCACATATATCTTTCTGCACCTTTTTAGCTTAATGTGCAGGAAATTAATGCATACGGGAAAAATCTTGTCCATTCGTCTATATTTCATCTCCCAAACTGCTGAATGGACTGGGATAAGATTTGGTACACCAGAAGTTTTCGATTAGACGTAAAAATATTTGTTTGGGGTTGGCACAATGCAAAGTGTAAGTTGACATGAATTTATAGGCTTTTAAAAAAATATTAATCTTACATATTGCGTTCCTTGAACTTCTAAAAACGCATTTATTAACAATTAATTTCAGGAGTAGTTACTTACCTATACAAATTCTGGGTCCCTCTCCAAATCGAACTCCTGTGTCCAAAACAATATCCGTTCCTGGGATTTCATACGGTTTCGAACACTCTCGCATTAACGCTGGTAATGGCGGATATTTTCGGAGAGTTTCTGAAACAGAAATATAGTTCAGTATGAACAGAAGTATTTAAAATTTACAGACATCATGTGTCCGTTGTTTATGTTGGTATATGTAAATTATATAATTGATATTAGAATTTTGGATACACAAATATATAAATCCTGTATCCAAATTTTGATTTCAGAGTCTGTAATTTAAAATGTAAACATACGTTTATTAATGTATGTTTGTGTATTTATCTGTACACAGATTATAATCTAAACCTCCAGAGATGGGTTTACTCCACCTGATATAACCTTGTCCAAATAGTTCATCTCTAGGATGGTTTCATATGTGATGTTGCCGTCATGTTTCTCCAGAACGTCGTCAATCTCAGCTCGTAGGCGCTCCTGTAAATCTGGGTTCACTGACAACTCGTACAAGCAAAAGGTCATTGTAGTTGATGACGTCTCGAAACCGGCAATGAAGAAGACAAAAGCTTGGGCAGCCAGGGAGCCCATCGAAAGATCTACAAATATTTTGTATCAATGAATATCAACCAAATAACTAGTTACTATGTAACTAAAATTAGTAATAACTCTCACCACAAGTAATTAAATAACTGAAAATACAAAATGTAACTTCTTGGAACAAAATCCTTTTTAAACACTTAATAGTCCTTCAATTATTCAAGAAATCACCCCTCCTTAAATGGAACCTCAAGATTCAATACTCGTTACTGAGCTCACGAGACTCCGCCACTGGTCCCTGTCCTAAGTAAGATGAATCGAAACCCCCCCCCCCACCTACAACTATAAGATACATTTCAGTGTCATCCTCCAAAGTAATCCTACGTATTTAAAGCAATGTGTCTCCTTAAAGCACTGGTACGGGAGAAAAAAGAAAAAGAACGCCCTGGAGCATCCCGATGTGTTCTTATAAATACATCGTAAATTAAAATTTAATATTATTAAGTGTTTATTATATCTTAATAAATTTCACATTTCAGAGAAGTGTAATAAACAAACAGAAAAGTGTGATGTCATAATTAATTTTGGTACTTGTGGGTTAACGGGACACATTGTTTTAAAAATAGGTTAGGTTAGGTTAATGTGTGTGGATAAATGACATATACTTTAAGTTATTATATTTTATTTCAATAAATGACTACTAACCTAACCTAACCTATTTTTAAAGCGATGTGTCCCAATAACCCACAAGTACCTTAATTTTATTGTGTGTAACTAAATCAAAAGACCTACATGAATTTATTGGTGCATCGTGTGTGTGGCTAGTTAAACAAGTTATTTAACAATACTACAAATATGTTTAATAAAATCTGTAAAAATATAAAACAGAAACTGTATATATGTATATAAGTTCACATTCAGATCTGCAATATACAGAGTAAGGGAAAGATAAATAGAACATTATAAATGTATGTACTAAATTATTATTCTATACAGTAGGGCCCCGCTTTTCGGCGATCTGCTAATACAGCGCTTTTTAATTGTGTGCATATGCCCCACACGCTCAACAGCTGAGTCAGAGAAGTGCGTCCAGCGCCATTTTCTTCTCGCTGATTCAGTCTGTTTACAGCTAATACCGATATTCATTTTACTTTCATATCGTTTTCTTAGGCCTAGCGCTATTGTGAACTTACTATATGATAGTGTAAAAATCTTATTAGGCTTTGATATGCATTTGTAATTGAAAAATGGCAAAGATCCGCTTTTCGGCGGGGGTCTGGTCCCTAACCTGCCGTATATGCGGGGCCTTACTGTAAAGCTTTCCAAAACAACAAACTAGTGTTCCAGCAAAACAAGTGAATGGAACAGATACACTAATTACTGTCGAAAACGTCTAAGAATGGGAACAACAAATATCAATTCTACTTTAGACATAGATAAATTGGTAATAAATATAAACCTCTGACTTTAAATGTAACTTCACTTATAGACTAATTTATAATTGATAACATACCCTCTGTTGTTTCAGTATTCCCATTCAGCGTTCCACAGTTCTGAACATCAGTTTCCTGGTCAGGATCCACAATGCCCTTATTCCTGAGCTGTATCAAAAGCTCCATGAAGTCATTTCGCTTTACATTGTTCTTCTCTCGATATTCAACTGTTTCCTCCACCATTTTGCGGAAATATTTTGAGATGCTTGAATCAATAACAGATAATTTCAATGTATCTAATACAACAGGTGCAACACCCGACAAAATGCCAAGAATTACCTGTTTTAATGATGGTTCAAAAATTTTTCTTCCCCATTGTCGAAATTCAGCATTTTCATTCTTGAGGCAATTACAATCGATTCCGAAAGCACAAGACGAAATTACATCTGTGCTGAATCTAGCTAAAAAGTCTTTAATTTCAATGACATCTCCGTTTTGAGTCATTCCTCCCACGCAATGTTGAAGTTGCCCTCCGCAGTCCACAAGTCGTTGGAACATCATTTTTAACTTCCCAGATGTGAAAGTTGGAGTCAACTTTATCCTTAGGTTCCTCCACCTCTTTCCGGGTAACATAAATAAATGCCCTGTTAAAGGTTCGATTTCTTCATTCATGTAGAAACCACGATCATGAAAAGTGGAGAAATCCTTAACTAGAATTTAATTAGGTCAGGGTCTCGTAAAAGTAATCGTGGTTTGGTAAAAATATACATTCCTCCATACTTATGTCCTTCAAGTTTTTTATAAATCTCTGTAAGAACATCTCCAAATTGTTTCAGCATCAAAGCAGCATCAACGAAATTTCCAAATGGAAAAATTGGATCAACGTACGGTACATTACATTTCTTCCAATAAGTGAATGTCCACTTAAAATAGACGTAGATCACTGACAGAATGCAAGCTATCAGTGTCCCAACTTCAAGAAGAAGTGACTCAAATATTAATCCCATTCTTTTAAGTAAGATGCTGAAGTACTTAAAGTGGACCTGTATTAAGAAAAACAATAGAACAATTAGTATTAAAACTAATTATTATAAGCTATCATTAATAAGAATAATATCAATATATATATAAAGTACGAAAATATTAAGTGATCGCATAATGGGAACGTAATATTCCATTGGTCAGATGCCACTACCTGTATTTGAAAATGTGATACCTTGGGGGAGGACGTTCGATACCGGTTAATATTTAAGGTTTAGGCAGTTAACTATCTCTTCTGTAATTTTTTTGATAGGATGTTTTACGACAGAATGCACTGTAATACCTGTGATGTTGATTACATCAACATGGTTTTTCAACCACAGAACCTAATCGTAACTACAAACACAGTAAAAATGAACTTTGAATATCTTTGCATATTCGGAGCCGTTACAACACTTCTCAAAACTTACTGCCATCATTTTATTTCACCAGTTATATATGATAAAATGAAACTATATACCGGTAAATACAGCACAGTTTAATTTATGTTACCTTTTAACTTGCTTTTTGGAGTCTGCTGCCTTGAATACCACCAGACAAATATTTCACATGGACCTACACACACTAATAACTTAACTCTGTATTTCCTTTGCTACTGATAGTGTTTGAAAATGACTAACACACACTGAGTGCGTGTGTGTGGTGAGAGAGAGAGAGAATGTAGAGGGAGGGGATGACCTTCAAATTAATGTTAATTCATCTCTCCAGACTACATAACACAGCTCAAGGCCAAAGTCAAATACTAATGAGCAAAAATATTCTATAGCTTCATCTGAACTCATCTGTACCACTGTTTTGTGCGTTCTTTGAACAACGCAAAATGGAAGCATTACGGAGAGACAGCATCTGTCTATAATTTTGCATGACTAACCTGCCACACTAACAGCCTCATTTTGCTTAAATGTTTCTTTCTATATATCTAGTCTAATTAACATTTCTTCTGCTGATACAGAGTAGATCTAACAAGTTAATAATAAACTTTTTATGAAATTTGGAAAATGAGTAGAAATAAGAAACAAAAGAGTGTATATAACAAAGGTTTCTCACTCCAAACACAATATTCGAGGACCTATTTAGGATTCTTAAGCCGGACGTCGACTCTTCAGGTAAATTTTGCGTTTGTACCAGAAAATAAGCAACGATCACTTCATTATTCTTGCATACTTTTCTCCAAATCTTTTATAGAGGACCAGAAATCAAAAATTACATTAGGATTGTTTTACACATGTACTTACAAGCAAACTATTTTGTACAGAACTAGCAACCATTACACACAAAGTCTGATATACATACATTAATATAATTACATCATATATTAACCAAATTTAGTGCCAAAAACAAGACAAACTTATTCCGAATTAGATAATACATATTTATTTAAGAAGATAGCATTGATAATCGCATCAGAAATGAATGCAGAAATCAAATATTTGTTGTTTGATAACATGTTTTGACATATTCCAGTCATGCTATAATATTTGTTATGTCATATCATCTTAGAAATATTATTTGAAATGCAAACAACAATAATATCCATTATTGTGTGCGTAATTCATATGGCAGCGTGAGAGTGTACTGATCTTCAGTACTTTTTGGTACAAATTAACTTTGTCACAAGATGAGAATTTAATCAGTCTGTCTTTGGTGAACGTAGTCCCATCAGTGGCTTTACCTACGATTCTCTCACCTCGATATTTGTTTCTGACATTGAAATGTTTCAGGCCGTTGTTTCTTTGTAGTGATGTCATACTATATTTTTGGAAATAAAATATCAAAGATGAGATTACTGATTTTGTGGATATATGCTAGAGAATTGGATATGCAGATGTTGAATTATCCCAAGTGATGGGCCACAACGTGATGCCAAATCACAGGAATGCGCTGCTGGGCGTCTTGTGTCAGAGTCTGGATAAGTGAGTTCGGGCGGAAAGTCTCCAGATGTCTCTGAGGTACAAAAGCTCTCCACCCGCTGCCATTTATGAATCGAAGAGCAAATGACATCTTTGGATATTTAAATACTGTCAGAGTTTGTAAGAGTACAGTGTTCTACAAGAGGGTGTTCCCTGTTTACGGTCAATTACTTCATCTTAGTTAACACTTCTGTTCTCAATACTCAGCCACATCCCACCAGCAGGAGCCAATATGAATGACTTCGGATCTATCACCAATGGAACTGGTGTCTTCTGGCTCACTTTGAACTGGTATTTGGACAGAAGAGAGACAAGTCCCACCTTCGTTTGCATCAGTCCGAAACGCATTCCTGAAACAGACAAATGTACTCGCCACATTTTGATGTTAACAAGAAATTTTTTTATGAACATTCTGTGTTTATTTCTACATTTGCATCGACTCAACAGATTATAAGGAACTTCTATTTGAGACCTGTCACTGAAATGAATTTGCGATCTGTTTTTTGTCAATTTTCAACTATGTAGAGTATAGCTTTTCAATATTTTGATGTTAACAAGAATTTTTTTATGAACATTCTGTGTTTATTTCTACATTTGCATGGACTCAAAAGATTATAAGGATCTTCAATTTGAGACCTGTTACTGAAATGAATTTATGAAAGTGTTTTTTTGTCAATCTTCAACTATGTAGAGTATAGCTATTCAAAAGAGCACACACACAAATTTGAGGAAATAATTGTATTTCACGCACAGATTTTTAAAAGGGGGAAGACACATGGGAAACTGCTAAAAGACTGGAGCGCTTAACATTATGGGAAAAACAGTCCGTTGGCACAAGAAAAAGACAAGAAGACCTGAAACATATTATGGTAATTTTTTCTTATGGATGTTAAAAGTAGGAACTCACCAATACAAATTCTGGGTCCCTCTCCAAATGGAAGGTAGACGAAATGGGGCCTCTTCTGTTTCTCTTCTTCACTGAAC